AGAGGGCGCCGGCCCCGGGGCGCATGGGGGGGCCCTGCCCCCTGCCACACAGCTATGGGGGGTCCCATCCCCCGGCGTGCAAGTGTCCCCGCCCTCTGGTGCCTGGCCACACCCCCTGGCGCCTGGCAACTTCAAATGGTTGGGGACCACTGTGATAGACCCTGTGGATATTGAATGATGTGTTGTGGAGAATGTTGATCATACAGCGCCGGCCCCGGGGCGCATGGGGGGGCCCTGCCCCCTGCCACACAGCTATGGGGGGTCCCATCCCCCGGCGTGCAAGTGTCCCCGCCCTCTGGTGCCTGGCCACACCCCCTGGCGCCTGGCAACTTCAAATGGTTGGGGACCACTGTGATAGACCCTGTGGATATTGAATGATGTGTTGTGGAGAATGTTGATCATACATCTCGAAATACACCTGTAGGTTCTGTATGTTTTTCTGCCAGGGTCTGGTGCCATTTAACTGGCAGGTCCTGGTCTGTGGGGAACCTGCTGCTGCTGCAGCACTTGGAGAGGCTGTTTGGAGGCTAGAAGACAGGGAGTCAAGAAAGATTTGTTTCATGATGGAGGATGCTACAGCAGAAATTCAGATACAAACACTCGGGAAGGGAGGTTGTTCATAACGCTGATAGGTCTGCAAGGGAGCAAATTGTGAGGGCTCTTTCACAGGGTTACAGCTGACAGTGACAAAGTACAACTTGGAAACGACTATGAAGAAGAGAAATGCGGATTTTCATCATCTTAATTTCAATGCACAGAAACAGAGTCCTTGGCTTTTCAACTTTCAAAAAATTCAAACTGAATTTTTAAAAGCAAGTTACGCTTTTAAGACCGTACCGAACCGAACTGCGTTTGCCCTTTTTTGGTCACCGCTGCTGCCCGGCTGCATTCCAAAACAGGCGTGCGCTGCCCTGGACTCTCAGGTCCTACGACAGGGATGGGGAATCTACGGCCCGCGGGCCGGGCGCGGCGTCACTCCGCGCGCAGCGGGAATTACTCTAACAGGTTTGGACGCCCCGCCCCGACGCGGCGCGTGGCAGGACGGTTTAGAAGCATATTCAACCGCCACCACACCCGCGCGCCCGCTCCCTCTGAGCAGCCCCACCTCCTCCACAGTCTCAGAGCTCAAGGCCGATTGAGCCTAATCCAATCAACCTCGATGAAGCCCCAACGTTCAACGCATGCGCGACTCTACCGTCTCCACCAATCACGATTTAGCTGCCCCATCACGAAGCCCAGCCTCACCTTTCAAATACAGCCAATCGCTAGCGCTGACTAGTCAGCGCTCATCCTTTGCTACCAATGCCGGGGCGGGAACTATAACCCACTTTAGGGTTCAGGCCCAATCAGAGGGGGCCCATGGTCCGCGGCTAAGGGGGTGGTGCGAAGGCAGAGGATGACGCAGCGAGTTTTCCGCGCGGTCGCGTTTCCGGCCGGTTTTTAACGTCGCGGTCTCAGACTCGGTCTGTGACGTAACGACATTCAGCTACGTGCGGGTGGTAATGTAGGGGTCACGTGAGGACAGCGCCGCTGCTGCGCGTAGGGAGCCCCGTGCGGTCGGCGCGG